TTATGTCCTCAGTACGGTCTGACAGGTGTTATGTCCTCAGTACAGTCTGACAGGTGTTTATGTCCTCAGTACAGTCTGACAGGTGTTATGTCCTCAGTACGGTCTGACAGGTGTTATGTCCTCAGTACAGTCTGACAGGTGCTTATGTCCTCAGTACAGTCTGACAGGTGTTATGTCCTCAGTACAGTCTGACAGGTGGTATGTCCTCAGTACGGTCTGACAGGTGTTATGTCCTCAGTATGGTCTGACAGGTGTTTATGTCCTCAGTACGGTCTGACAGGTGTTTACGCCTTCAGTACGGTCTGACAGGTGTTATGTCCTCAGTACAGTCTGACAGGTGTTAATGTCCTCAGTACGGTCTGACAGGTGTTATGTCCTCAGTACGGTCTGACAGGCAGAAGACTGTAGACGTTCTGAGTGAACTTGGCTCATCACCGATGATTAAAACTCTTCCAGTTTCATTTTTGCTGTTAATTGAATCTGACATGTCATTAAACTATTACCAAAGGAGGTTAATTAATTAGGCTCTGTCTGGTGGCTCCAGATGTCCAAACCTAGAGTGTCCTCTGAAACGCTGACTTATCCTCTGAAATGTCTTCAACCCCTCTTCATCAGGACAAGGCAAATATACACTTTTATTTTGAAGGAGAAAACATTTCAGAGGCACATCTTAAAATATAATATTAAGACTCTGATCAAGTTTAGTCTGAACATATTTGATGAGATTCTTTGTATTTGTTAGTTATAATATATTAATTATCAAGTTTATGGTAATTAAGTCCTTGTTTCACAGTTGTTATTTATAATGCATTTTGGTGTTTTCTTTTTCTCTGTTTTTGAGTCTTCTATGTTCTACCTGAATAAATGAAAGTGTTTTGTCCAGAAATGTCCTTTAAGTCTTAAAAGCCTTTTAGTTTCTCACACATTTTAAAGTTGATGAATATTAAAATTAGTGTACTTTTCAATTCAAAATATTGTCTATTATTATTTATTATGAGTAAATGACATTTAAACATTTTTAT